CCCAAGCATCTTTTTTGCTCTCCTAATTGGTTTCTCTCTGCTACTATTTACTCATTTAGCTCTGGAAAGCATTTGGGACCGCAGTCGGGGGAAAGTGGCTTCTGTTACAAAAGCCCGCTGTCCAAATCTCCACTTCTGGGCCCTCTTGGGGAGGGAGGAGTCCCTGCTGGTCCATTTCCTTTTCCTCTCTGTCTTTCTGTGGCCTCCGCTCCCCATCTGTGTACGTGCACCTCTTGGTTTTGTCCTGCTTCTCCTGTCCCCGTCTCTTCTAAATATTAAATCCCCCAAATGGCTCAATCCTCATTTAAAATCCTCTCTTCTTTCTTGGCACCAAAATGTTGCTTGGCAATGAACCCTCGATTCTCTTGTTTTTATATTTTCATTTGGTTCTTCATTGTTATTTTCTTTTGAGCTGTTTGCAAATTGTTTAGGGAAATGAAAGACTCTGTATAAATTAAGATGAATCAAGTCTGACTCAGAGCGTGGTGGCTGAGTTCCTTCCCCCTCTCCTGAAATAAAAATAGGGATATCTTCTAAACACACACCTGTAACCCTCATCTTTCCCCAAGCCCAGGGTGACTGGGTTCTGGGGTGCTTTTGAATACCCATTGGTCACTGAACTTCTCTAGCTTAAACTTTACCCCCACCCAACATAATACCAGGACAGGAACCATTTAAATCTCATGGAATAGTTCTTACAATCTGGATTTTATTCAATGAAATAAACACTTAATTACAAACATCTGTTTGAGCCTAAATTCTAATTACTTAATCTAGCCATCTGTAATTTTAATGATTTTCCACGATTTTTGTTCTTTGCGATGTGATTAATGGGAATGGCACATGAAACTGCGGGTATGTGTCTCCGTTCATGACACTCTCCCCTGTGCTGGCACTATCTCAGTTTGTGCCTGCGGTCGGCCACCTGGCAGGTAAGGCCCACGAGGCAGACTGAGCTTCTTTTGTGGTTACCTCTCCATTCAGCGACTTCCTCTCTGTGCTGCCATTAGAGCTGGGCTCCCTTTCTAGAAAGCTCCGCCTGGAATACTGAAGGTCTGACGGGGAAGGTGAGAAAGAGAGGGAGAGGCTTGGACACAGGTTGGGAGGAAAAAAGCAAAGAAAATGCCAAGGATGGAGAAAGAACAGGGAACCCTAAGTGTGTGTGTGTAGTGGGGGGAAGAGACAGGGAACAGATGTTCTGGGAAGAAGAGAAGAGGGGAGCGAAGGGGAGGAGAGGGAAAGAGACAGCGTCCCCACCGAGGCAGGAACTGGTTGCAGCCTTTGTAGAAAGCTCAGTGGCAGAGACAAAACAGGCTGTGTTTTCCCGGAACTGACTCCCCCTCACTCTCCAGCTCCCCAGTACGTGGAAGAGCTGGGCTGTTGGTGCTGAGAATTTCTCGGCCCCCCAAAGAGACAAGCAGAGACACCGCTTTTCAAAAGGTAATCGCTAAAGTGAGAAGCCTCGAGAAGGTCTGTCACTGCGGTGAGCCTCCTTCCCACACTCTGAGGAGAGGGTGTCTGTAACACCTCTCCCCACCCCCAACAGGAGGCCACAGAGATGATGCTGGAAGTTTCCAGTGCTGAGAAGCAGGTGGAGGCTCCAGTCCAGGCTGCCGCAGAATGCTGACCTCGGGAGACCCTGGGTGCACCACCTAGCTCTGCTGTGCCTCAGTTTCCGTGCTTGTCAAGAAGGGGTGAAGGGCCACTCTTGACCTTTACAAGTTCCCCCAGAGTCAAGATGAGGCACTATCCTGGGAAGGGCTGGAGCAGCTCTGTCCTGATGTGAAATCTAACAGGATGAGCACCCCACTCTCCTCAGCAAAAAACAACAAGGATGCCAAAGGGGCTTTGTGGAGAGAAAGCTGGCTGCAGGGGAAGCAGCACCCGTGGGCACACAGGTCCAGCTCCAGGCCGGAGGCTACTGGTGATTCTCTGCACACCGTCCCCAGCAGCCCTGAGTGGGGGCAGCTAAGTCCGTCCTCACTGTGGTTCTCCACCCCAGCACAGAGGGTGCCTCAGGGAACACTCTCACTCACAGAACATCCCCCAAACATTCTCAGGGAGTGAGTGTAATGCTCAGGTCCCCTGAGGTCAGCACTCTTGAGATCCCTGCAGCCCTCAAGCATAGAACAGTCCCCTTGATAGTCACAGGTGCTGCTTCTGTGCCCGGGAAGGAGACACGGAGAGTGGGCGTCTATCTTTTAAACTGTATTTTCCTTTGCTTCACCACCCTTCTGCAGTCATTGTGAGAATATGCCAGGCTGGCCTGCTGTCCAGGGACAGGTGAGAGGTGTGTACAGCAAAGCTGCCCCAATGGGCCAGTCCAGGTCAGACACCAGCAGAGCCACCCAGCTGGGCCAGCTTAGATGAGCTCTCCCTAGCTGACCCTCAGATGTATGAGCTAGATAAATACATGTTATATTGATATATGCTAATGAGCTCTTGCAATTTGTTATTACATAGCATTTGTGTAGCAAAAGCTAACTGGTATATTTACTAATCCTTATCTCAGCTTCCAGCATATAGGTGGTTACATTAATTTACTCAATGAATAACTGTCAACTGAAGATGGGATCCTGTCCCATTTCAGCCTCACAACAGTCCTCTAAGATGATCAAGAATAATGACCCAGATTTGCAGATAAAGAATCTGAGGCCCAGAAGGGGTTACCTAACATTACACGGCAAGAAAATGGCCAGGCCAGTATTGGAATCCAGGCCACTGCCTCCAAGGCCAGGGGTCTTTTTAGCATGTCTGATCACAGCCAGAGCTGGCCTGTAGCTATCCAAAAGGCACTCCCTGGCCCTTCAGTTGGGTCCCAGAAAGGATCCTACTAAGTACCAAGGGCCTTTCCATGGCCAATGTGGGCATTAATTCAAGGGCTGAAGCCTTCAGAGAGAAACTGGCAATAGAGCCTGGGACCTTTTATCTCACTAAGCAATATAGCAAGTGAGGTAAGGTTTGGGTTGGAGGCAGATTTTTTTTCCTTTCCTGATAGTCTGCCCTGACCCTTTCAGGTGGGTCAACACCTATAAAAAACACTGGCATGATGATGGTAAGAATTGCAGACTCGGCTAAGAGAACAGGGCTTATATTGCTGCTGAAGGGATGAGTCTGATTTTGCATGTGACACTGTGCCTGAGGACATCTTCACTGTCCCTAAAGCCATCTAATGGGGCTAAAATCACTTACTGGGATGTGCTGCATTAACCTTCCATAGAACTCCATCCTCAAACCCTCTTCCTCTGTTCAATTTCCTAGATCAAAGCTTCCTGAGTTTTCTATGAGCTCTGACCCCCTTAACTACCCATTATTTCCTAAGATTTCTACCAGGCTAGATAACAGTAAAGGAACAGAGGGTTGTGGAAGGTCACTTTGTCCCTGCCCTGCCTGCAGAAGGCCCACCCTGGAACACCACACTGGCCAACTTCTAATTAGATGTCTCTGTGTGGAGATGTCTAGACACATCTTTGCCTCTGGGCATGTCTTATCAAAGACAGGCATCTCTCCTATTTGAAAAGCCCACTGGACAGCTTCCCATTCCAGAAAGGTACCTGATTCCACTGCCATCTCCTATGCCTAATTCTTTTCCATTTTAATCTCCAATTCATTATTAGACCTGCCTCAGTCACTCACTCGCTCATTCTGCAAATAGCTATTGACGACAGCCATGCATTGTTTAATGAAGGGAAGAAGTTCAGAGAAATGCATTGTTAGAACTGACAGAACTGCCACTGTGTGACCATCACAGGGGGCAGTTACACAAACCCACACCCTCAAGAGCACCCTTCACTGTCCTGGTGGTGTAGCCTACTATACACCTAGGATGTATGGTACAGCCTATTTGCTCCTAGCCTATACACCCTCATAGCATGTCCCTGTGCTCAAGACTATAGGTGACTGTAACACAGAAAAGGTAGAGTGAAAACACTATACACAGTATTACAATTTTGGGGGCCACCCTCACGTATAGGTGGTCTGTCATTGACTAAAGTGTCTTTATGTAGCACGTATGTATTCATTTTTCCAGGTCCAAGTACAGTCCAGCAGGGCAAGGAAATGATGGTCCTAGAGAGGGGAAAGTCCTAGAGAGGGGAAAAATGGCACAGTAGGTAATATAGACAGCCACGTGGCCTGGGTTCCATCCTGGTTCCTCCACTCACTAGTTGTGGATGCTGGGCTATTTACTTGGCCTTTCTGGGACTTAGTTTTACCGTTTGCAAGATGGAGACATTGTTACTTGTTCTGAGCATCCCATGGCCTGTCTCATGGGCTTTGAAAAAATGAAACACAGTATGTAACAGGATTAGGACAGGGCACAGAAAGACACACAATCCTGGTCTTTTGAACACATGGACATGAGCAGGTGCACTTCACCGGCCACACAGAGGAAGAACATCCAGCCCACAAGAGAATGGCCAGGGGAGGTTGGCTTCCATCTCACACTCACGGGGGAAGGAAGCACAGAAAGGAAGCACAAGGAAGGGGGTTTAGGAGGAAGCCTCTGAGGGAGGCTCCCACGCAGGAAGTGTCCCAGGTAGGAAGTGGGGAAGGGCCAGGGTCTGGGAACCTGGTTTCACTGGGCAGCAGGCTTGGTGTTTTACCCGTCCCCACCCCTCACCTCATTCCAGCCTGGGCTTTGGTTTCCTCATCTGAACAATGAGAGAGCAGATCAGAGAGCCCCTTCCAACATAAGACCCCTGGATGGCTCCCTCGGGAAGTTCTTGGCAATAGCAATATCAGAAGTCTGGCCACAGGAGACTTGCAGACATCGCCAAATGACAGCTCATGCCTCCACACAACTCCCTGCCCAGATTTGTTGCTCTAGAGCTCACTGCACTGCTTCCCAAACCTTATTCCTTGTAACCACATCCCAGCACTTCTACACATCTCTTTTTGTGGCACTAGAGCAGGGAGGATGCAGCTGGATTCCAAGAGGGCTTGTTACCCAGAGGTTGGGCCACAGAGGGGAGCAGGGAGAAGCCCAAGTGGGTACTTACCGCAGGCCCGGTGAAGGGGACATGGTCGCAGTTCTCCTGCCAAGACTGGTTGAGGCTCTGGGCAAACTCTTGAAAGAAAGCATGGGATTGGTTGAAAATGGAAAATCCAAGGATGTTGACACGATCGTCCATGAGGCTGTCCATTCTCTGGAGCGAGAACTCCTTCGGCAGTCAGAAACAGAGAATATGGTTAAGAAGAGATGAAGGGAGGGAGGGATGGCATTAGAGCAGGTCTAGGTATCTAGGTACCTCATTCTAGTCTAAGATATAAACACACTCTGCTGGGAACCAGGGCTCCAGAGATAAGAATGTTTTTTTTTTTTTCTTCTGAGATCTAATAGTATCAGTCAGGTAGGGGAGAAAAAAAGAAAAATAAGCAGAATGATCTGTAAGCAAAGTACATCCAAAATGCCCTGGATGGAGAGAACAAACCCATGTGCCCTGTGGAGGCAGGACTGCATCCATGGAGAGAGTGATGCTTGAGGTGTGTCTGAAAGGACGTACAGGTATTTTCTAGGAGGAAAATGTGGGTGGGCAAAGGGTATTGTAGCTGAAAATCACCATGCATACAAAGCTGTCAGTGGTATACTTTTCAGAAAGCATCATTCCTTAAACTGTGATTCTACCATCAGGATCACCCAGGGACTTGTTAAAAAATGAAGATTCCAGCACCCCAAATACCACTACTTGAATATGAATCTGGGGAGCTGAGCCCCAGGAGTCTGCACTTTTGGCAGGTCCCTGAGTCTTATGCACCCAAAGTGTGGGTGGGTGCACAGAGTACGTAGGGAAGGAATGGTGAGAAATGAAGCTAGACAGGAGGGGTGGGACCATGAGGGCATGGACACCAGGCTAGGGAGCCTGTGCTTTGTCCTGTGGGCGATGGGACCCACAGGGACTGCCAGCAGAGAAGTGCCAAGATCAAGTTTACTTTCTATAACTCTTAACCTGAAGGTCTGAAGGTAGGGTTGTGCCCTCCTTTATAATTTTTTTTTCATTCATTTAACAAGTATGCAAGTGTTTACCATGTGCTGGACACTGGTCTAGGCACAGAGAACATGAATAAGGGAGATGCACCTGCCGCTCTCAAGGCCCTCACTAGTTAGTGGGAGGGACAATAAGGATACAGACTGTCACCTACAAGGGGTGGGAGTTGGAGGCTCTCATTTTAGACGAGGCAATCAGAAAAACCCATCTGGGATAGTGACATTTAGAAATTCAAGAGAGTTCTCCCAACAAACTTCATCCAATCCTCACCCAACTGCCTGGCCAAGGCCAAGTGTTAGCCTGCAGGTGTGAGCTACACCAGGGCCAGTTACAGGGATACAAGGCAGGTGGGTTATTCACCTCGCTGATACCCATTCCTGGAAAAGTGTCTTGAAATTTGCGGGCAAGGCCATCTTCTCACACTGAAGTCACAGTCATCACACATTTGTTCCAAGCGCCTTGCACACAGCTCAGTGTCCCCAGGCACATAGTACTTACAGACCCCAAACCAACCCATCAGCCACTCAGCCTGATAGCACGTGCCTTGGGCTTTACTCTCTGGTCAGGCAGAAGCATTGCTTTCCTTCGGGTGGACTCCTTTTCTGAAGACTTAACTGCTCCAGGCCACTGGCACTTGTCTTACACCCTTGCTAACGTCTCCGGCCTCCACTGAAGCCTGAGCTCACACACCCAGAGCCCAGCCTCAGCTTCGGCTCACAGACTGGAGTCACAAAGCCCCCTTGGCGCCACCAGCCCCTGACAGAGTGGAGTTGGATGAGAATGTAGTGTATTTTGGATGCTGCCACATTCCCATCAGGGAAACAGGGGCATGCCAGAGAATGTATTGATTCCAGAGCTGACATTATCTCCTTTCTCTCTTGCCCATGAGCTGGGGGCTACCAGCAGGAACGCGGGGCAGATGGCTAATGGGAAGAGATGCACTTGGCAAGGCTGAGAGGACGGGGGCGCACAGCCAGGCTGCTGCCGGAAACCCCAGGGGCCTCACTGGCCATGGCTGGTGGAGACTAGAGAACATCCTCTTTTCCCTGGCTTCCTTATCAACATGGATGACACATCACCCCACCTCCAACTCTTCCCCCACACAGAGCCAGATGGAGGCCCATTTCAAGAAAGCCCCCACGTCTTGGATGTCCACAGACTCCCATGTGCAGTCAGGAGGATATAGCAGATAAGGGCTTCGATGTTCAAACCCAGGTTCTGTGCCATCCCGGCTGGGTGACCTTGGCCTTTGGCTGCTCATTTTGTAAAATAGATGCAGGAACACTGGCAACCTTATAGGCTGTCAAGGAAAAGCAAGCTGTATGCAAAGGCTTAGCATCCCATGTGGCAAACAGGATGGTTACTGACGTGAGATATTAGGAAGCCTCTGGCCCTCTACTTTAGTTCCACTTGCCCTGGGAACCTAAGTTAGGAGAGTGTTTCCTTCAAATGCATGTTATGGGCAGAGTTAAGAGTAAATGAGTTAATTATACACACTTAGAGGTAGTTTATCAAAAAGTCAGCCAGTATGTCTTCCTGCCTCTTAATTCCTAACTTCTTATCCCTCAATTATAGCCTACTTACAAAGGCGTCTTAAGATAAGAAGATTCCTGAAGCTTCCTTGCTAATTCCTTCTATTTATAATGACTTGTGGGATAGCTTGTCAAAGGACAGGAAAGAGGGGCTCTTTTACTGCAATTTCCCTGGACGCTCCAGGGTTCTACTCTTTAAGCGTCCTTCCAGGTGGGAAATTCTTTCTTATGCCTGAACTCAGACTCTCCTGCTGCTGTTGAAGGCAATTTTCTAAAAGAATAGGGAAATATCACCAACGTATATACAACGAAATCTCCTGCACTAGTATTTCTCAAAGTGTGCTCCTTAAGACATTAGCTTTCCAGATGTCAGCAGAAGTTTTACAAAAATAAGGCTCCGTGTTCTCATAAGGTTAGAAATTAAGGTAGGAAAACATTGCATATTATATTGGCCTTTTTGAGTTGTATAAAGCATATAAGCGTATTAAAGGCTGAAACAGCTTGTTTAATTTTGTTTAACCGTGAAATTTCCAAACATGTCTGCCACGGGACAGTTTTTTCCCCTCCAAAGCCCGTGAGCGACTCCCAGTAGGATTCCACAGTTTAGATGCTACTCTACACCTACTCAGAGAAACGTGTATTATGAATCCCCAGTCAAGTGATGGGGACATTTTACTGGAGAAGTATTTCATAACATTAACAAATTTTAGGATTGGAGGGGATTAAAGGTCACCTGACTTTTGCTGCCCATCTCCAGCCCTAAGAATGTACACCTGGTTCACTCAGGTCCCCCAGCCACACTGCCTGGCTGGCTGTGACCTTTGTAAAGTGGGAGAAAGGCTGGGAGTGGTTCCTGGGGTAGAAGAGGTTCTCAGGGAGACCCTGATCCTCTTATAAATGTCCCAGGAAGGGTCCCTGCTTCCAATAGGAGTGGATTCCCAGTGTCCCCACACACCAGGGGAAATAAGGGTCAAGAACAGAGCAAGCAGCCATCTGGTATAGCCAAGTGGCAAAGCAGGACCAAGACCAATCTCCCATTACTCCAAGTGTGCACGGCTTCATGACAGCCCCCCTGCTGCCATTACTTTTCATGAGTGTGGTCTCTCTCCAGAGGGCTGTGTGTTCCCAGACAGCGAGGATGTGCCTGCCTTGTGTTTGAACTCCACGCTGCACCTAGCCGAATGCCTGATACCTAGAAGCTGGCTGAAGGTCTGTGGATTGAAGACGTCTCAATGCCTTGGGGTCCTCACTGTGGCCAATGCCATCTTTTCACATCATCTTACCCCCAGAGAAGGAGTAAGAACATCAGTGGGAGTTGCACCAACCCTCTATCCTCTGGGAGTTGTGATACTGCATTGTAAACAACGGATTCCTCATAGATTACTTTCTTATCACTGGGCCTTCACATTAAAAATGTACCTGTATATGTGTGTATATATGTGTGCGTGTGTGTGTGTGCAAATCCTTGCATACACAGTGATATGTGAGGATGTAAATAACTATAGCTGAAGATCAGGGCACAGCCGTCAATGAATAGAAGGAGCTGTCACCCCGAGATAAAGAAACACCTCGTGGATAAGGCACTTACTATGGGTGATGTAGCTCAATGAGTGCCCCTTACTTTGTTCAGCAGGAGTGACAAGTCCAATGTCCTGGTTTACAGACAGGCACCCATTCATGGCTCAGCTAAAAGAAACTTTCTATGGACCTACAGCCTGTTCATCCACCTGGGCCAGGAAGCAAGGGCAGGCTGGGAGTGAGGCTGGGTTGGGGATGGGCCTGCAGAGGAGGGCCCAGGTCTCAGGTAGAGTTGTTGGAGGGAGAAGGGAGACTGGGGAACTGTGCAGTTACTGTGGCTGCGAGTGGGACCAGCTCACACCACATGGAGTCCAAGTGCCAGGAAAGACCCAACTTTGGTGCCAGGTTGTTACGGAGCGTGGGGGAATAAGGGAAATAATGCGCCAACCTGTGGGCAGGCCCTTTAAGGGTGTGGGGTGTGGGGAAAGAGGTGTCCTCTTTAAAGAGCAGGGACGCACTCTGCCTGGGCTGAGCCGCCAAGTCCCATCACTGGGGATTAGAGGCAGTCAACACTGGCGAGTGGACAAGAGCTGAAGGCACAAGAGCTAAGAATGATGCAGGCTTGGCTTCTGTGCTTGACTTTAAGGACATAAGCACGAAATTAAAACACCAGTCCAGATGTTCTTTGAGTCAAGCCCATCCTCCAACCCAGGCCAAATGCGGAGGTGGGACAAGTATCATTCTGATGTTGGTTCTCTCCGCCCAACAGTCCCCTTTCCCCTTCTCCGGGACAGCCTAACCCAGTAAGTGTGTCACTATTCTTCCAGCTGCCTCAGCTAGAAACATCAGGCACAGCCTCAACTCCCTTCCTCTTTTAACTCTGCCCCCACTTTATTGCCCGTTCAGTTGAATCTGTCCCCTGAATGTCTCTTAAATCTGTCCTTCCCTTTCAGACCCCTCCAGGTTAGGCCCTCCTTGTACCTTCTTTGCAATAGCTGCCTAGTTAACAAGATCATGCTTCTGATCCTGGGACAGCTGGCTGCTGAATTGTTCAAGCCCCAGGTACCATTTATATGATGACAGTATGAATGGTGTCCCCTGGGCTTTATGCAATACAGCAGCAAC